CCTACCACATCATCTTGCGATATCTGTCACCTAATGTTAGCATCCATGTCGCGGGGCTGGAGACGTCCCGCGACCTGTGGAATGAACTCGAAGAACGGTACCGGCGCATGGAACTCGCCACGTTTTGCGAGCTGTTCGCCCAGCTTCGTGAAACGACAGGCGATAGTTGCGCCAGCGCGCGTGAATTTGTCGACCGCGTACGACTGTTGGTTCATCGATTGAACACCATCGCACCAGGATCCATTGGCGATCGTGCCCACATTGCGATCTTGTTAACGCAGATCGGACCGGAGTACATCCTGATTGTGGATGCTATCCAGAATGACAAGGATCTAGTCGATCCGACCACGGTCGGAAACCGTCTGGCTAATGCCGAACAGACGGTGCGGGGGAAGAACTCTCCCACACCACCACAAAGGGGGCCGGGAGCATCGATCAATACGATCCAAACCAACACACGAAAGTGCTCCCATTGCAAGAAGCGAGGCCATATGCCCGCGAAGTGTTGGAAGAAACACCCTGAATTGCGTCCGCAGAAGGACCATGCCGACAAAGCAGAACGGAGTGCTTCCGGCTCACCAACATCATCAAGCTAGGTGGAAGAACGGCAGGGCCGGCCGACTTCCAAGAGACCGAGGATCAATATCGTGAGGGCGGGGGTGACGACCCTTTATACCCACGCGCCGCAACCCCGGTGGATCCTGGACTCCGCCGCCACTAGCCATATCTGCTAGGACCGAAGCTGCTTTAGTAGCCTGCGGCCCCACCATAAGATGCTGGACACAGCGGGCGATTCAGTGGAAGCCGAAGGGATTAGTACGGTGAAGCTCACGCTCCGGGGGAAGTTCAACCACCCCCTGGTGTTAAAGAATGTTTACTTCGCGCCACGCATCGGGATGAACCTGATCAGCGTGCCGAAGCTATTACGAGACCGCTACTCGGTGGTAGCGCACCCACAGAACGTCTTTGTGCAACGCCGAGGACGAACAGTGGGGACCGCCTACCATACGGAGGAGGATCTGTTGATCCTGCGGTGCTATGTGAGCCAAAGATCCCGAGAACGAGTCCAACTGGCGAGGACGCCGACGGACCGTGTCTATGCAGATTCCCTAGAACCACAGGCGGTGGACATAGACGTCGACGACCCTCTGGAGTTAAGTGGTACGAGGCACGGCGACCACCTCTGAACTCGGTGGTGAAGCTCGGATACTCGAAGAAGATGCGAACACAGGAGTAGACCAGGCCACCGAAGCGCTGTGGCACGCTCGGATAGGACATCTGAATCGGGGAGACTTAAGGGTGGTCCTCCGTCAGACCGGCACTCCGTACCGACAGCTGACCCGGGCAGAACTGCTGGCAACGCCGCAGTGCCCAGCGTGCATGTCGGGTAAGCAGCATCAGAAGAGGAACTCCCGTGCAAGACGACCACGTCTGCACTCGACAAGAATATTTGAAATGATCCATTCGGACATTATGGAAATGCCAGTTTCTAAAGATGGCTCTAGGTACGTCATCACCTTTACTGACGATTTCTCTCGTGGCCCGAGATCCTGGAAACGGTAGTCTATCTGAAGCTGCGCGCACCAGCATCAATCCTACAGAAAAAGACACCGTATGAAGTCATATACGGGAAGCCGCCTAAGCTCTTGCATCTTCGACGGATCGGCTCCCGAGCATGGGTATTAATCCCAAAAGAGCATCGAGCTAAACTCGGACCAAGATCGTCTGAATGCCGACTGCTCGGTTATTGCGAACCCAATCAGTACAAGCTTTACGAAGTACACTCTGGAAAGACAGTCTTTTCCCGTGATGTCGAGTTCGATGAAAGGACCCCTGTGGCGCCGCTCATCGAGGGGAAAACAGGCAACGACCTCCCGGATAACGCTCCTCCATCACCTGTCTATCCTGAACCAATAGCGCCTTCATCTAACGCACCACTTACGCCGCCTCCGTCCTATCCGTCGCCTGATGATCTAGAGAACGTGCCTTATGAACCAGTTGATAACATGCCTTCTGAACCAGTTGATATTCCTTCACCCGTCAACCCGGTCTCTGGCGAAACACAAGCCACACAGGACCTAGGCTACTCCTTATATGGCCGAAGACGAAGACCTTCCAGGCGTCTCTTGGAGTCTCTAGGCAAAGTTTATGCAACAGGGACATTAAATGCAACTGTCGTAAAAGACATAGATCCCTTGACCTTCTACGAAGCCGTGTCGGGACCCAACCAGCTGGAATAGTGGGCCGCGATCCAGAAAGAATACGCTTCGCTTCTCGAGCATGGCACATGGGAGAAGGTTCCACGGAATGAAGTTCCCTCCAGGGATCGGATCATTAGCTGTAAGTGGGTATTCAAGACGAAGGCTAATGGAATTCGGAAAGCGCGACTAGTGATCAAAGGCTACCGACAGAAATATAGCATCGACTATCACGAAACCTTCGCGGCCGTGTCCCGAATAGATTCGGTCCGCAGCATCGTTGCAAGTGCCGTGTTGCGTGGATAGAAACTCCACCAATTCGATGCCGTCACTGCCTTTCTCCACGGTGATATCGATTCGTCTATCTATATGGAGTTTCCAGAGGGCTTTGAGGAAGACGGATACGTCTGTCGACTTCGACGCTCCTTGTACGGACTGAAGCAGGCACCACGGATTTGGTACCAATGCGTCCAGCGTGTTCTGGTGGCTCACGGCTTTACCATGGCCCAGTCTGACAATTGTGTCTTCTATAAGCCAAACTATGTCGTCTGCGTCTACGTCGATGACTTTCTGGTTGCAGCATCGAACGACGCCGAGATCCAGCAACTTCAAATGGCCCTGGAATCGGAGTTCAAGCTAAACGATCTGGGAACCCCCCCGTTCATTCCTAGGAATCCAATTTGACTTCCACGCAGATGGATCTATTTCCATTCACCAACATCAATACATCCAAAAGGTGCTTTCCGACTTTTGCATGGAGACCTGCCAACCGAAATCCACACCGATGGCACCAAAGACTCTCCTGAATTACGTTCCCGAAGAAAGCGACCTAGATGAAGATGCGAAGGCTCGGTTCGGGACAGCAATCGGGTCACTAATGTATCTTATGGTCGGTACGCGCCCTGACATCGCGTTTGCGCTTGGGACGTTGAGTCGCTTCACATCCCGACCGCAGTCGCATCATCAGGCCGCATTGCAGAGACTGCTACGCTATGTCAAGGCGACGCAATTCTATTGCATCACATACCGCAGCGGGCAGTTGATCGGATATACAGATGCCGATTTTGGTAGCTCTGTTGTTACCGATGGTGCATACTCCACGTCCGGCTATGTGTTCAAACTTGCAGGAGCACCAGTTTCCTGGTCGTCCAAAAGACAGGGGGAAGTGGCGACGTCCACGACTCACGCCGAGTACATTGGCCAATATAACGCCATTCTTCACCTACAATAGCTCCGCACATTTCTAGCGGAAACCCACCTGTTTCGATCACCGGTGACCAACATCATGGCTGACAATCAATCTGCCATTGCTCTCTCCCGCAATCCTGAGTTTCACAAACGGACGAAGCATTTCAACGTGAAATTCCACTACCAGCGAGCCGTTCTGAACAAAGGGGAGATCTGTCTCGAATACGTTTCAACTGAGGAACAGGCAGCTGATGGACTGACCAAGCCTCTGGGACCCTCTCCATTCACCAAGTTTTGCAATCTCTTAGGAATTGGCACTGAAGTACACATGAAGGAGGAAAATGTGTAACGGCGATGGCGCTCTTTCCACTATTTCTCCTCTTTGAGGTTTCGAGTGGTTTTACCGAGGCCAGACCGATGTGCATGCATTCAGTATCGCCTCGCAGCAAGGCGATCCTGAGGGGGAATGTTGTGATACCAGGCATTTGCTGCTCAGGAATGAAGCCGCATCATCGGAAATAATTCCTGCTCTATGTATAGGAAGAACCAAGTTGGTTGGAAATCAACTTGGACTTCATGTTGTATATATAGCCTCATGTATTCTCTCAAGAAGAACAATCAACAAGCTTCCTTTGGCAAGACAACAGTCTCTACGGGTCCCGGGCTTACTTACTAGCGCAACTGCGAACTGGACACTGCTGGCTATCAACATACGCGAAGACCTTTCATTTCTGCGATGATGACCTATGCGCCTGTGATGAACGAGAGAGCGTAACTCATGTTATGCTGGATTGCACGGAGCTGAGAGGCCTTCAGCAAGAGCTCAAAGGGAAGGTCGGAGAAGCTTATAACAGCATATCTACCTTGTTGGGATGATTTGGCGAAGAGGAAAGGGGTAAGATCCAGTGCCTCACGCGCTAAGACAGTGGAGTCTGTCTTGGGAGTCTGTCCGGGACTTCGCCGAAGCATCACAGCGGTCTCAATGCCGAGAAACATGGAGAAAGCAGGATAACAAAACGGCTAATGAGCCGCGAGAAGCCCCGGCGCGGCATCAAAAATGGGACAGGACACCTGTACACATACTGTATAGTTGTAGATTAGTTGCAGATCCTGCGTATCGTTCGCGAGGGGTCAGGGTAAAAAAAATCATCATCATCATCATCATCATCATCAAATAGAGCGCACATATTTAGGACCCACCTTCTGGAAATCAAGTCGAAAGAGTGTAAGGTGAAAGTGATTCTACTGTAAATATAAATGCTTCTCCATGTGAGTAGGAACAGTAGCGGAGCGGCTGCACTCAGGATCATTCCCCCTTGTAAATAGAAGGAAATTGGTTTTTCTTACCTAGGTGGGAAGGAACGCGCCTAAACGGTCTCCATTTCCGCCCGCAAGCCTTCCCAAATGTGGCACGCTAAACGGGTGGGTGGACTATGTCTGACTCGTGTATTCATCCGAGCCCCGAGGGCTAGCGGGCTCCACGTGAATATAGATTAATTCAAGTCTCTGCTTGGGTTAAACCTTCATTCTACAATATATCAGGCCAGAAGGATCGGGGGAAGCTTTGAGGACATTTATTATACTGCATTCTCACATCCTCACATATAGGACACAATGGCCGAGTCGCGGACCTTCCTACGATTTGCGAGTAAGCCACCCCTGACGCTAAGGCAGACCTGCCCCTGACCCAACATTCCAGGCCCCAACGAACACCGCACAATCAGCCGCGAAGACGCCGGGTTCTACAACGCGGTCGTCGTCGGTGCAACATACGAGGTAGAAAGCCAGGAAATAGATGTAAAGCGGCCAGAGACCTTCATTGCACCTCTAAAAGAATGCGTGCTCAAGTATCCGTTCCTCAGCGTCGTCGTCCGCGACAAGGATACGGATAAGCCCGGGTACGAGGCCGTCGCGAGCATCGACCTTCCGGAGCACGTCTGTATCCTCCCCGAGTCACTGGAGGAGGATGAGGTCCGGGCAATTGAGAAGATCCTACCTGCGAGCTTCGACAGACCGTGGCCAGCAGATATCCCACCCTGGCGTATCGTCGTTCTCCCGCTACCGCGGACTGACAAAACCTCGACAGCAGTCGCATCCCGCTGCTTCATCGCCTTCTCCTTCTCGCACACTCTTGGCGACGGAAACGTCGGGCTCACCTTCCACCGCACATTCCAAGCCGCATGGACCGAATCCATCACTTCCCCAAAATCGAACACATCCTCCCCATCACTATGCCTCCCGCCACGCCCCCTTCCCGACCCATTCGACACACCCTCGCGCCTCCCTGTCTCCTGGAAATTCCTCCTCGCCCCCCTCGCAGCCGAGTACCTCCCAAACTATCTAAAGCACATCCTCGGCCTCCGCGCATCAACCAGCTCCATCGACGAAGGAACGTGGACGGGCGCGCCGATGTTCTTCGATGCAGCCCGGGCGGCGACAGCCGAAGGGTGCAGCCGCGTGCGAATGCTTGAGATCGAGGCGCCACTAGTTGCAGCTGCGCTGGCGGCTTCGCGGGCGCATGAAGCGAAGCTCACGGCGACGCTGCATCAGATTATTGTTTGTGCGTTGAGTCGGGCGCTTCCGAGTGAGGAGATCACGAACTTCGTCTCGGGGACGGCGGTCGATATGCGTGCCTCAATTGGGGTTCCCGCTGGTGACTGGGGGTTGTATGTTTCTGGGCATTATGAGGTCCGTTCACGGATCCCGCTTGACCCTACTTCTGATTCGAGTGAAGGTGTAGAGAAGGGGCAAGCTTTGTCGGAAGAGATGTGGGAATCGGCACGAAGCATAACGCGCAACCTCGCCGCGTGCGGTACACGCCTCCAGGACCAAGCCATCGGCCTCCTCCGGTACGCACCTAGCATCCGTGGCTGGACGCTAGGTAAGATTGGAGGGAGACGCGACGCTTCGTATGAGGTTAGCAATTTGCTAGCCTTCAATCCTTCTCCTTCTCCTGCTGCTGCTGCAGCAGCGGCTGCTGATCCTGTTACTGCTGCGCCCCGGGTAGGGAAAGGTAAGTGCAGGATCACAAAGGTGGTTTTTGCCCACCCCGGGAATGCGCTGAGTGCGCCGCTAGTGTTTTCTGTTGTTAGTCTCAAGGGTGGGAGCCTTGTTATCGCGGTAAGTTGGCAGGTTGGCGCTTTGGGGCTTGATAAAGTGGAGGACGAGGGGGGTTTGTGGAGGGGGTTTGTCAAGGGGTAAGAGCTGGTTTTGAGGGGTTGAGGGATAATTAGGAGGACGAGTGGACTTTTGTTGAGGGGGTTTGTCAGGGGGGTAGAGCTGGTTTTGAGGGGTTGAGGGATTATTAGGAGGAGTAAATGAGGTTGGGATGTGTATGATAGATGTAGTAGTAGTAGTAGTAGTAGTAGTGTGTATTTAACGGCCGTGGCTCGTGACGAGCACGATATCCACTATCCCCGATCGGGGCAAAGGCCGCCAGGGGGTGAGTCCTGGGCGTCTCCAACTATTGCTAGTTCTATGTACAATTAAGAGACTTTGGCGCATTCACATAGCTGCCTCGGTCAACAGGAGGGTCTGCAATAGCAGGTTATATAGCAATGCCAGCTGCATGGATCCGTCTCCGCACCATGATCCGCCAATCCTCCTTCTCTCTCTCCTTCTACGTTTATTCAGCTTCTTTCTTTTTTTTTTTTTTTTCTTCTTCTTTCTTTTTCAGGCATTCTCAAGCAGGGGTCGACTTGGACAGATGTCGTCAAAGAATCGAGTTTCTGCTAGCCAGGCAGCCAGTTTGGCTGCGCCTTTTGGGGTTCCCAGAAGGAAGGGAATCGTCTCTGAGGGTGGCCCTGAGGGTCGGGGTAGGCGTCTCTTAGCTACCCGGCAGAAGAAGAAGTGAACTGGAGACTTCCTGGCTCCACACCGGCAATATAGATGTGCGTCTTCATGATTGAACCGCTCATGGTAGTCTGCAAAATCACCGTGCCCTGTGCGAGCTGCCAGGATCCGCGCGAGAAAGTGGCGTGGGAGGCGCAGCTTTGCCGGGCACCTGGGAGAGGAGGTGATCCAAAGATCCTAGTATGACTTCGGAGCCGCGGCCTGCCAGTGCCTTTGCAGGTCAGAGGTTACAGCAGTCTTTGTTTGACGCTTAAGCGAGGCAAAGGAGTAAATAGAGGAAACAGGGGGTTCTGAGGCAGCTCCCCTTTTTACAGCTTGGTCAGCTTCTTCATTCCCAGGGACTTTTGCATGTCCGGGGACCCAGCAGATACGTACGGAGCCCTCCTTTGTATAGGAGAACCTCTCTCGCTCGGGCCAGGTCGAAGCCAGGGTTCGGAAGGTCTCAAAAACTTCTTGGGATAACCCCGTAAAGGGTGAGAGCAGGCAGGTGGCTACTTCCAGGTTGTCCAGGCAGACCCAGAGGTCAGTAGCAAAACGTGCGGTGTAAGACTGTATAGCTGCTTTGATACTAGCAAGAGCTGCTTCAGCTTCGGCATCGAAAACTTCTTTGTTTGGTCCGAGGGAAAAGGATAATTGGTGACAGAGTCTTCCTGTCTAGTATAAAGCAAACCCAGCACCTGCCATACTATCAGGCACTTTCGACCCGTCTGTGAATACTTTCATATCGTTGCTTGGGAGGGAGGAGTAAAAGGATTGGAAGTCGGCAGCTGCTTGCTCCTTTGATCGTCCGCTAGGTGCCTTTATTCGTAGTTGCGCGTCCGCCCGTGACTCCTTTAGGAGCCAGGGGGCATGTTGCAACGGGTTTATCTGCTCTGATTCCGGCAGGGCTAGTATTCGGCGCGCAAACCGGCTAGATTTCCAGCCAGATTGCACTATTTTTGCTGCCCTCCTGCGTAGGGGGTGGTGAGGATCTAGGCGACGAACATAGATAGTAGCGGCTGCGGCTATATAATCAAGCTCCACTTCAGCTGGCAGAAGCCCTGACTCGCGATACAGAGCAGGTAAGGGAGTGGTACAGTAGACAGGGAGAATTGCCCTAGCCCCCGTTTGTATGACTTTGGCTATCTTGTCCAGATGTCCCTGGACTTAGTTTGAGATAGAGCCTGCCCGGGGGCAGTGGCGCGAGCGACCTAGCCACCAGGTTTCCGCTCCAAAGTAGGCTTTTCGGAGTACGCAGGCTATTACGACCTGCCGCATAAGGTATGACTTGATTCCCCGGACAGTGTTCCCAAGGCCGCGGAGGGCGTTTGCAACTATTAGGGCCTTCGAGGTTGTCTCACCGACATAATACTTGAAGCTAAGTTTCTTGTCGAAGAGGACCCCTAACCAACGCAGGTAGGGGCGTTCTGTATTCTCAGAGATTGTGATCGGGCCCGCGATGACGCTTAGTGTGCGGCTAGAAGCCTGGTCATCCTGACGGCGCGAGAAATAGATCAATTCATATTTATCAGGCGCGAAGGTGATTCCTTCCGTAGTGCCCCAGTCGAGGGCTTCCTGCAGGGAGGTTGACAGGCTTTGGTAGTTAGCCTCTAAGGATAGAGACGTTGCCAGGATAGCTGCATCGTCTGCGTATCCAAACCTCGTCTTTGGACTTCCAAGCCGGAACAGAGGGGCTAGATAAAGCATGAACAGGATAGGAGACACTAGCGAGCCTTGTGGTAGGCCGCAGAGTATCTCCGTTATTAGTCCTAGTTCGCCGTCAATCCGGATCTGAACTACACGACCTGTGACGAAGGAGGCTACCCACTGAATCAGGTTATCAGGCCATCCTTGTGTCCGAAGTCTGTAAACAAGTCTTCCAGGGAGGACTCCATCGAAGGCTCCTTTTACATTGAAGGTAAGGAGCGAGGCTGTTTTCTTTTGGTTTAGAGCTTGTTCCGCATCGTGGAGCAGACATATAGTCAGATCAACTGCTGAACGTAGAGGCAGGGCCCCGAACTGTTAGCTAGCCAGAACTCTGTGGTGGACAGCGATCCATGCTATATTCCGAGCGATTAGCCTCTCGAGGCCTTTACCTAGCACTAAGAGGAGAGCGATTGGTCTATATAACCTAGGGCTAGACCAGTCAGACTTGTTTGGCTTTTGAATTATTGCCAGGACTGCGTGTCGGAAGGATTTCGGATAGTAGCCGGTTCGAAGGCATCCCTGGTAAAGCGTGAAGATTCTGTCCTTAATCAAGGGCCATACCACCTTGAATATACAGGTAGGCAGCTCGTCTGCCCCAGGGGTCGTATTTCCTGCTTATAGGATTGATTTCTCTACATAGGCCACGGTTTTATCAGGGAATGGCAGTAAGCAAGATAGGACTGCTGGAGTGTCTAGCGGGATATCTCCGGCCTCCGCCGTGTTTTGAAGTAGGTTCCGGGATAGGATATCTCGCTTTTCTTGCATGTTCACCGCTAGGGGGTTGTCAGGCCTTAAGGGATCCTTGAGTAGGGGACTGCGGTAGGAGCCGGTTAACTTATGCCATTTAGCCATATCGAAGACTTCCTTGGTCTCGGTCACTGCGCTGATCTTATCTCGCCAGTACTGTACTTAGACTCGTCGAGTTATTCGCCGGAAGTCCTTCTGTATGCAAAGTCCTGCCCGGTAGTCTTGTAGTGCCTTCTGCCATATAGTGTTCCACCATCGTTGGCCTCCTCCTTAGGGGACTGACTTATTTGCAGAGGCTGTGTATACGCTATAGATTGCTGAAGTGATCTCATTTGCAAGGCAGTCTAGTTCATCTTTAGTCTCTGCCAAGCTCCTGACGTTCGCTAAGTTGGAAGCGAGAAGTGTAAGGAAGCGGGTGTGGTCCAGTGTGTCGAACCTTAGCCTTTACGGGGCCTCCAGAGGTCCCTGTTTCCAAGGCAGACGCGTGAGGAGTGGGCGATGATCAGAGGTTGCGTCAAGATGATATGCAACCTTAGTACTAGCTCCAAGGAGGCTTGGGGAGCTTGAGACAAAGGTCAGGTCCAGCACATTACCTCTATCGTGCGTGGGGGTGTCGATCTCAGAAGTAAACCGTAGTCCGCGCTCGTCGAGCCATTCTGTAAATGCGCCTGCGAAGGTAGTGGGAGGGCGCCGGAGAGAGGGCTGCCACCTGCTATGTAGCAGGTTGAAGTCACCAGCAAGTAGGGTAGGCTATATAAAGTAAGATTCAGGCAAGCAAGTAAGGGCTCTTGCTGCTTCCCCTACCCGGATTGCAGCGATTAGGGCATTATATATGTTGAATACCAGGACAGATCGCCTTGGACATGTGGAGATCTGGAGGAGTAGAAGGTCGGAGAGGGTCTCCTAGCTTAATGTATCAGGTCGGAGCTAGGAGGCACGGATGCCGCATTTTCGGCGGACGTAGGTAAGGACTCAAGGGGTGCCACTTATTTCCCACGAATCAGTTGGAGAGAAGCACTCATAAGACGGGTGTCTTTTCGTGATCTTTCGAGTGAGGTCTTTGTAAATATAGGGCTCCTGTATAAGAACGATGTCGATATGATTGGAGTGTGCCTAGGAGAGGGCAATTTCGTGGGCTTCTAGAATGCGGCCAACATTCAGCTGGAGTATAGAGATAGACTCCTTCTTTAGGCGGTTTCGGTAAATCATAGTTATTCGTGCATTAGGACGTCGAGGCTGTTTTGTGGCTTAGGACTTGCGAAGCGGACAGCCCTAGTTGTGACTGGGGGAGAGTCTAGAGGCGCCTGGGGCGGCGGGGTAGCCGTACGGAAGGGGAAGGGTGAGGCGTGGCTATTCGAGGCTAAATCTTGTTCCTGGGAAGGCTCGGGGGCTTGCGTGCAGCACTGTCTCTCTACGCGTGCCTTGGCAAGCTCTAGGGAGCCAGTCTTACGGATCTCAGCTTGCTGGGCCTTTGTGCATCGAGTGCCGGTCTTGCTAGGCCGGAGGAGGCATTGCTCGTAGTCCGCCGGATGAGGGCCGTGGCAGTGTAGGCACCTTAGAGGGCAGGTATAGGGAGATTAGGTACTGCATCTGTTGCTATGGCCCTTCTCAGTGTGCTGTGTGGAGCCACAAAGTCGGCACCTAGGCTAGCGAGCGCAGGATCTAGCGTTATGCCACTTCCAGCACCGGTTGCACTGTACAACCTTTGTCTTTCTAACCAGCGGCTGAGCGTTGGTAATCATCCCGAATAAGGAGAGACGTACAGGAAGGTTAGCCTTGCTATCCTCCGGGAAGTTGATAAACCAGCTGGATGAGATGGTGTCCGTGTTAGCGGCACTTATGGCGGTCTCTGCGATAGAGACTGGGATAAGGCCAGTCATCTCGGTGATCTCCGAAGACAAGATTTCAGGGTTGACAGGGATCATGGAGTATTGGCTACCAGTAAGTCGGCCAACCTTCCTGGGTACATTGGTTACTCGATAGGAGATCCAGCGGGAGCTCCGTTCAATTTGGCAGTCTTTGAAGAAGGCGCTTATAGCTTCCTTCTGGGCCTCTAGGGCTGGGAGGGTATCTGTGGAGGCGGGCAGAAGAGCGAATCCAGTCTTGATTGCTTAGACGCCTTTGAGAAGCTTTCCATTAGTGTCTAAATGGGATCGTAGGCTAGTATATATCGCAAATGCATCCATGCTCTTGGCAAGGTGGTGCGCCGGGAGGCGTACAAAGAGACGGTTATCGGGAGATGGCAGCTTGGTAGCAAGTCTATCAGTCTTCCAAGCACTGTTGGCTTGTTTTGCCGCGACATTCTTAGCCGGGGGACTTTGGGTGACAGACGCGTACGTGGACTGGGCAAGACCGGAGGGGGGACGGGAAGGGGGAGGGGACGGGGGAAGGGGAGTAGGGGCAAGGGCAGGGGCAGGAGTGATGGGGGTTTTGGTCAAAGGCACGCCGCTGATGTAGGCATTGAAGTGTTGTTGGGCTACGTTAGCCAGGTCGTTGCTAAGGGCAGCGAGCGCTCCGAGTTGGTGAGGTGTGAGGCTGGTATTCTGGCGCCGGTGGTTGTCAAGGAAGGCTGCTATAGGGCTGAAGATTTTCTGGCTTTCTAGAGCTCTAGCAGTGGCTGCAGTGGTTGTCTCCTGCAGTGTGGCCTGCAGAGGGCCAACAGGTTGGTTATCACGTCTTGCCATGTTGTTGGCGCGTCTAGGCGCGTCGCGTTGCGTGGTAGGGGCCGGGCAGGTGTCCGGCAGCGGGCGGATGGGAAGCAGTCCCTTATCCTAGGCTGGACGCCGGGAGCGAGAGCCTGGTCTGAATATTCGATAGAATTGGGGCCTTCCTAGATGAGAAGGCTCGATCGTCTTTTTGACTGAAGCTATTGATGCTGTTGCCGCGTACTGTCAATTTGAGGAGGGTATCACGTGCCGTTTGCCACAAAATAAACGGGTTGAAAGCCATCCGGCCGAGCGCGATTGTGTCGATGATAACAAGCCGGAAGGCGAAGTGGCCGACGTCCAAACTAAATCGGCAAGCCCACTCGAAAAGGCTATTCGATCTATCATAGAAGACCATCGACCGTTATTTTGTTTCATTTGTGTGGGACAGCAAAACCTAGCTCTCAAGAAGCGTATACAGCAATTCTCATCGCATGGAGATGTTTCGAAGCATATCAAGCGAAAGCATCTACAAAACCTCGCATCGAGCACTGTTATTGCTTGCAATGTTTGCAATAAAGAGTTTGCAGAAGTCATGCACTTTCAGCGTCATGCTAATGATTCTCACTCGACTGTGACCGGACCTCTATGGTGCGCAGTCTCTAAGTGATGACTCGCTATGTTATTTTTTGTGCATAGAGTTTATTAGATCCTTGAATTCAAATAACTAGATGACCTCATTGGCCTTCATACGACCTGTTTCGAATGTACCAATGTAGCAGTAGCAGCAGCAGGAGGAAGATCTAGCCACATATACTTATTTCGAACCTTAGCGCGCTTCTACGATGTTCAGCGTCGAAGAGAGAACTGGTTCTCTCTTTTCTCAGAGAGTTGACTTAGATTATCCAGATGACGTCATTGGTTATAATTTTGGCAACATGTTTTAAATGTACTGAAGCATCAGACAACGTGCTGCGGCAAAGAGTGAACCGACTGTATCTTTTTTGTTGAACTACCTGCTTTGCTGGCGAGGGCCAGGGTGGAGCCAGATGTTATGGCACCAATCCGTGTCAGGCTTAGTGCCGCAGTCCATCTCCACCTTGACGCCTCAGTACCGCTGCCGCCCATGAGAATCACTTTCTCCCTTCGCCCAGGATAGCTGGTGGTTAGTGATGGTGGTTAGTGATGGTAGGTGCGATCGACAGACATCGATTAGTGTTGAGATGAGATCCACGCAATCCTCGCCCTCGCTGCTTCCCGTATTACGACCAGCGGCTGCCCTTTCCCGGCACGGTGGTGGCCTGCCTGTCCCTAGCATGCTCAGACACTGGCTGTACTTTGGGATATGCGCGGGACAACGTCGTCACAGTAGATCCGGTAATCTAGAGATTGAAATAGGTGCCGATGATTCCCTCCCTCGTGGGGACGAGGCTTTCTTTCAACCTTCACAGATCGCAGGATATATGAATAGTAATCTACGACAATCCCTCACAGGTGTCTAGAATATGTCATGTAGTATGGCCGGACAGAGCCTATCCAACGGAAACGGCATCAAGAGCACTTGTGGTTTCAGTAGAACTAAGCTATATGAGTCTCTGTAGTGGCGCATGGTTCAAGACCTGAGGCGACAGAACCATCAGAACTGTTGCGGGCAACTCGAAATGAAAAGGTCAATTTGTCTAGTTACACACCAAAGAATCCTAATACATCTGCAAAATTGGAAATCCACTTTGCCTGAAAGTCGTCGCCCAAGGAAACCGTATCCTCTCTCTTCGCATTAGCTTCCCATTCGTGTCGTTCAACAGAATTCCACAGGGAGTCGTTGCTTGGCAGTGGGAATTGAAGCTCACCAGCAGGCAGTAAAGGGCGGTCTTTCGGATTTTCGCTGCTCAGTTTCGCACAGAGCTTATACAGCGCTATATTGAATCGCTTGATCTCCTCGACCCCCACCCAGACAAATCCGGGCAGGTCAGATTGCTTATACTTGGCAAGTATGTTCGGATAGAAGAACATGCCCAGTCTTCGACAGCTTCGAACAAGCGATTTGAGTAATGTTAGATCCGCTGCGGAAATAGACGCTTTCAGGTCGAGGTTGACAGCTTTCTCGCTTTTAACGAGAACAGAAAAAATAACATGTAATAGGATAGCCTGGTATGTCGCTATTGGCCAGAAGCAGGTGCTACATGCGCCCTCTACTTCTGAGGCATCCCATTTCTCCTATAGTTTGAACGTTAGCAAATCGAGTTTATCCTAGATTCCTGATTCGACGTACCCTCTGATCTCGAATAGCAAAATCAAGATTACCGTGAAGTTCCACCGCCGCAGACTGCGTAGACCGTTCTCCCGATGTCCACATGCCTAGAGCCACTATTGATTGTAGAAGTAGTGGGGTTTCCTGGTGTACATCGAATGTTGCTTTATGGATAAAAGGCCAAAAGGGGTGGAATACCTCAAAATAACAATGGGCAAACTGCTTCCTCTTCTCCAGATAGTATGTTTGTGACTCTTTCGGGTTTGGAGATGATGAACGTGGGATCAAGGAGCTAGGATGTTGTTCTTGTTCTTCTGCAATACTAGCATCCATGTCTTGAAAAGAACAGTAAACATTGCGACGAACGCACTCCCCACATGGAACGCCCCCTTCGCACCGACTCTTGCTTGCATGGCAACTTGCACAAGCTCGGCGCGCGCGATTGAGAGGCTCTGTGATTTTGTGCTGTTTTTGAACATGGCGCCGAAGAGTATCACTAATTCCACCATTCTCTGGTCAGGATTGATTTTGAGTAAGGGCAAGTGTAACTATGCAGATACCTTCGTTTAAACTGGCGTCCACAGGAGGAACAAACAAAGTCCTGCTGCGGAGCGTGATTTGATTCTTCATGGCGCTTTAGATGCTCCTTGCGTCGGTACCGAGCATTGCAGCCAGGAAATCGGCACCGGAACGCGTCGTGTGCGAAAGAGTCCGAGGGACTCGGAGGGAAATGGAATTCGATTTCGCTCCCAAACCCTTCCATCGGTAAACATGGCTCTCACAATCAGCGTTTCGAAAGTGATGAGACCTCGCTGAGCTCCGCGGGTGTTCGGATCGACAAAGTAACTTCACCGGCATCCCACCCGGTCTCCCACCCGGTCTCCCACCGCTTCCGATAAGACACACTTTGAGGCGCTTCAACTCAAAAAGGCTATCGATATTCAAAGAATGTGAGTCGCAGTCAGATTATAGATATAGCAAATGCCTCGGCGAACTTGCAGAAATGTTGCAAAGGGCACAGTCTCGAGTGATGCCGAATGGGCGGCGTGGGCAGGCGTGGGAGGCAATTAGTAATTCTGCCCGTACATTGACTCTTATCCTGTGTTAGGATTCCTGATTATTCCCATTATTAAACGATGATTTACTGAGGCAAAGTCCCGGTATAAATACCTCGGAAATCACATCCCCTCGCCGCGGATCATTTGGCTTCCAATCTAGCTCAGTGGCCCTCGGAACCATGACTCCTTCCATACTTATCGTTGGCGCCACCGGTAATACTGGCCGAGCTGTCGCCCAAACACTGCCAACGTTGCTTCAATCCAGCAGCTCTTTGTCCGGGCACCGCGTCATTGCTCTCACTCGCTCCTCGAGCAGTCCGGTAGCACGCGAGCTTGCTAAACTGCCCGGAGTTGAAGTTATCGAGCAGAACTGGGCTGAGATCACCGCCGACTGGCTCCGCGAACATCAAGTTGTCAGAGCGTTCATTGCATCACACATCGAGCCCAGCCAATTCGCCGAAGAGTCGACCTTCCACCTCAACGCTCTCTACGGTGGCGTGAAGTATGTTGTGCGCATCTCAACTACGGCTGCAAATGTCCGCCCGGACTGTCCCGCCTACTATCCACGCCAGCACTGGGCTATTGAGAGTCTCCTCGGCTCACCCGAGTTCGACAGCTTGCAGTGGACCTCCCTTCAGCCGAACGTCTTCTCGCCGCTCATCATGTCCCCTGCTGTGGATTTCATCAAAAAGTTCCGTGAGACTGGAGAGCAGGATACACTTCGGTTGCCGCTGTCAAAGGACGCACCCGTCGGCATTATCGATCCCGACGAGATTGGTGTTATTGCAGCTCATCTCTTGTCTCTGGACGACACTTCCGCATATAACAAGGCCAAATACGTTCTGAATGGACCCGAGGATATAACTGGGATGCAGATTGTTGCAATGGTTGAGCAGCACATTGGTACGCCCGTCAAGGATGTTAGTTACAAGGACGTCTCGTTCATCGACATGGTGTACGAGTACAAGTATGCAGCAACCAAGGAATCGAAGAACGTCATCTACTCAATCAAGCGGGCTCCCGAGGCATCGTGGGAAGGCAAATGCTCGGCTTCTACGGCCAGCCCGGGGGTCTTGGGGCTTGCTGCTCCAGGGCGTACGCCTGGGGGTACGCTGAAGGCCTTATTGGAGGGCTAATGGAATTATATGTTGACAATAGTGCTCTATAAGAATGAAACAAATTGCTTGTATTGGAGAATCATGATATCTATTTGCTTGTAGTCGTAAGAGATCGACAGTTGTGTACGCCTACCCGAAAGGAAGCAGTCAGGAAGCTATCTGAAGCTTGGAATCTCTAGAGATCTCTAAGAGAGAATAAGAAGACAGGGGAGACAAAGATCTCTTATAGGCCAGTAGGACAAACGGCGCCAGGCCTGCTAAACAGGAGTCTACAGAAGGGGAATCTCCATCTCCATCAGAAGGTATCCGTTCCATCCAGATATTTGCCGTTTAGTATGGGACTGCGAGTTTCGTGCTTGTTTACTTTCTGCGGTAGCGTCACGGTTGAAGTAAGTGACCAAATCAAAATATTCCCTTCCACGAGGCCCTCCATGGGATTTGCCGCCCGTATTTGAAACTATGCTTTTGCGTTTAAGCTTGTCTTTTGTCCCAGGGGGTAGTCAGGAAAGAGACTCGGATACGGAGATACTATTGATGAAGTCTGGTCGATGCATCATACAGGATGCCTATATTCTCTGGTCGACAATCTCTAAGTGTGAGTAGGAGGCCTGTCAAATAGCCAGCAAGTTAACGAATTGATTCCCAAACTAATTCGGTATCCCACCGGCCTCCCATCGGCCACCCGTCGGTCTCCCACCATCGGCACTCCACTCAGCCGTGTTGGGATAATACTTTCTTTAGCTTTTATGTGGGGCGTTGATGAGCAATCGAGGAGTTCGAACCCTAGCACAAGTTCGGAGCCGGACAGATTCGGGGTCCGACAGGAATAGCAATTGGAAATGCAGGTATATCAAGAAACCCGCAAATTTGGCGCTGTATTGGTTATTGATCGGGCAACAGCCATGTAGTGTTTGGAAATGTAATTGTCACTGGGTTGCTTCGTAATAGTTATTGAGCCAAATGAAGGAGCAGAACACGTATAAATAACTCGAAGGAGGTCCTGAGTGACCGGTTGACACTCACTGCTATTTTACGGATAGCTGATACCTTTTCCCGTTCGCCTTGGTTGTGTTGTACTACTACCTCCTACAGTCTTGAAAATGACTGCTTTCAATTTCTCGACCACTGGGTCTGAAGTAGTCGCTGCGTTGGCAGATCGAGTCACTGGGAAGACATGTAAGTAGCCCTTCCGTCCTGGCAACAACCGGATTTCCGTTATAGTGGGCAATGGAAACGATGTGCTGCTCGATTCCAAGTTGCTGAGAAGCCATTAGTTGTGATTACTGGAGCCAGTCACGGAGGACTTGGAGCCCACACAGCCCTCTGCCTAGCAGCTGCCAATCCTGCGGAGATCATTCTTCTTGGGCGCTCCGAGGAGAAAGTCTCCCCAGTTATGAAAGAGATCAGCAGTATCAGCCCCTCGACCATTGTTCGATTTATCAAAATCGACCTCTTGTCCTGCGCATCAGTGCGCGCCGCGGCAGCGGAGATCAATGCGTCTGTCTCTAAGATCGACGTCCTCGTCAATAACGCAGGCATTATGGGTGTCAAATTTTCTCTCACTCCTGAGAACGTGGAAAGCCAGCTGGGTGCAAACCATATTGGTCATTTCCTGCTCACCAACCTCCTTGTTCCAAAGCTTGAAGCTTCTGGTGGTGGCGCTCGGATCGTGAATGTAGCCAGTGCTATGTACCAGCTCAGTCCAGTCATGTTTGACAACTACAACTTCTCCGACGGAAAGACCTACAACGCTTGGGAAGCTTACGGCCAGTCCAAGACAGCGAACATTTTGTTTGCCGTTGCATTGGCCGAGAAACTGGAGAAGAAGGGAATCAAGTCCTATTCCTTGCATCCGGGAGTGATACACACAAAGGGTCTGTCCGAAGTGGATCAAGAAGCGTGGCCAATTGTGGGAGCTTTGTTTGAAAGCAAGAAGCTGGAGATGCCGAAGGAAAAGACCATCGGGCAAGGCTGCGCAACTACTCTTGCTGCGGCCCTGGACCCCGCCCTGGGCGGTAAGTACACGAATCTTGGCAGTAGTCAGTAGTGGGAAACGGGCTGACAAGTTCATGCAGATCACTCAGGGTCTTTTTTGAATGACTGCAATCCAGAAAATGTTTTGGACTACGCCTCTGACGTCGTCAATGCAAACAAGTTGTGGAATCTCAGTGAGGCAATTGTCGGGGAAGAATTCTGTTACTGAAATGTCTCTGCGGTTCTGCTTGCAGATGACCTCCAGACGTGTTTTCGAATACATATGTCTTGATGGAAGCATTCACTAACCTGCCTTTGCGTTCTCGATAGCTAGAATTGATAAGTCGTATTGATTTGGAACACATTCTTGAATTCTCTCCTCTTTTTGGGCAATAGCGATGTAGAACTACGATCAGTCGCTGACGGCGACCAAATAATTACTGGTAGCACCCTCCGAGACATGATTATTTGCCTGGTACACGGTGGACCGTTTATTGTATACCTAGGGAGGGATCCGACAGCCACCATTCCCTGCGGAAGAACTCCAAGAATTGGTAAGTTCTTCTAGGTCTATTGATCAATCTGACACAGCTTCTTCTGCGAGGCAGAATTCCGCTGAAGCGCAGTGTCATTACTTGAGGAGAAACAATCCCCCAATTCAGGGGGGGGTTTAAAAGCACGTAAAGTATGAAGTATTCTATGCAAGATGGAGGACGCGGTCGCCCGACGAAGAGGCTCTTTCGGGCCGGGTTATGAAGATGCAATCTGCCACAAAGAATTCCCAGCGAGCGGGATTCGGAAATAAATTTTTAATTCAGCTAGCTGATCTTTAAACGTAACTTTGCTGGATCCGAGCTTCCGGTCAACCCTCAACCAAGGCTTCTAGTGAAGAAAATATGTTCTTGGTATACCTAGCTCCTAGTGGAACTTATGTGCAGCAAGGTCTTGACTGCGCGGTCAGATACAGCAATAGACGTACGAAACAGTTCCGTCATTCTAGTGACTTCTTAGTGTATTGGTGGGAAGACTGAGACATGAGATGCGGTGACGACGCTGATTTGGCAGATATTTTTAGGATTAACGTGTGTGGTTTGAGTAGCTCACTCTTGCCATTGGCTAGCCGTCAACAATAGCATTGCGTACATCAAGGATACGAGGTTGGCCCAGTAACTAGGTCTCATAGCTGTATTTCCCCACGGTGAAAGAGTATTTTTATTGCGATTGTTACTACGTGGTATAGAGATCAATATCGACGACTAACGGAAACTCAGTTTGCTAAATGGCAAAGGCCTGCAATCTGTGCCCAATGAAGAGCCTCGTGATAATTGAAAATTTGTTCAGATCTGAGCAGAACCAGCACTAAATAAGCCCTGGGTATCCGAAATGCGGAAAATGTACTTGGTAGCGCTTGCTTTTCCAGCCTTCAAGTCCTTCAAGGCTTCCTCAACACCGTCGAGGCCTCGCGGCCTAATCTCGAAAGGATGACCAGAAAACCTGCCATTCTGCAATGCTCTCGTAAAATACCGAGAGAAAATAAATCCGAGTTCCTCATAGTCGCCAAAACCAGGCTGCTTGTGCACTGACCCGACAGAAGTGATCGATTTGATAGCAGGCGAGATGTCCAGGTCGTTGGGCAATACAAAATCGACCTGTCCGCCTGCGGTGACCGACTGCTTCAAGACCTCTGCGCTTTGCGTAATGATAACGGCATCAAGCGCGTGCCGCACAGAAGAATGTCCAGCTTTTTCAAGACTGTCTCTTATCGCCTTGGTCGTTGCTGCTACTCCTTCACGGTAGTCTATCACTGCGTCTCCTTTGCTTTGATCTAGAAGGCCCCGTACATAACGAGATCCCTTCCCTGCTATAGCAATAATGGGATGGATGTTACTGTTGCACGCCAATTTAATTGCGTATGAGCCAACAGCCGTGCTTGCGCCGTAAACGATGAACGGGGTTGGTTTTGCTGCAGGTGTCCATGGCGGTGGGAATCGAAGGTGCGCGTACAAGGACACAGCAGCAGTCAAGGCAGCGAGAGGGATTGTTGCGGCTTCTGTGAAGCATTATTAGCTAAGAGCCGTATGGAATCTATTGTTTTGTCGCACCTTCAAATGAGGTGTGCTTGGGCAGATGGAAAGTTGTATGGCTCCACGCAAGTGCGTACTCCGCATAGGAGCCGCCAGGCGTACACATTTCGTGGAACGCCGCAACACGATCACCTCGCTTGATAAGAAGTTAGCTCAGACCAACATAGCTAGCTAGGAAGGCCCACTTTGAATTCAACCACCCTAGAGCCGACCTTTTCAACCACACCGGCAATGTCGTCCCCTTGGTTCACTCCCTTCTTGGCCTCAACCAATATGTCGAGACTGTTGTTCCCAGAAGCTGCAAGCTCTGGGACCTTCCAGTCCTTCGGATTCGACCCAGACACCACCACTTTGATAAGAACCTGGTCATCATTTGGCTCGGGAATCGGGCTCTCGACAATCTTTACGGTCGGCCCTGCCAGATTGATAACCTCCTTCATGTTCTTCAATCTGAATTTTCGACACTGAGAGGTAAGCTGCACTAATAGTCCCAGGGTAAAGCCGAAGGCAGACTTTCATTATAAGCATGCACATTTTGCCTTCCCGCTATTGATATTTAATGGCTTATAAAGCCCCTTCTTCATTCAACAGGTTTCATGGAGATTTACCCCACCATCATACATTGAATTGCGTCATGAACGGCATAATCAATGATAAGCGAAGTGTCAGTGGTGGGAGACCGGTGGGAGAGTGGGAGAGCGGGAAAGTGGGAGTCCGGTGGGAGCCGGGACGCTGGTTAATCTCCCATTATAGGGCAAAGCAAAAGTCTTCTCTCAAGTTTACGACAGAGTACCCTTTCTCGCTCGAAAAGGCCCAATCATGGCTACTGCGAGACGATTCTAAGCCTTACATACCTGTCGCCGGTTGCGCAGATGATGGCTGGTCAAAAGAAGGCGAGGCGACTGCCACATGCTACTGTGGTGCGGTACAGTTGGCCTTTGTAAGTACTCCCAAACGTCCCATACACTCCGTCTAGTATATCCCGTTAATATGACGGACAATGTTCAGCCAACACAAGGCCCCGGCCTAATTGACACTTTCACCTGCCATTGCGTTGACTGCAAAAAAATCACTGCATCCATGTTCGCCACTAATTTCATCGTGGCAGACACACACCTACAGCATCTACGTGGCAAAGAAACCATCAAGACATTTAGCCAGTCGAAAACCATAGCCTCCGGCAAGGCAATGACCAATTTTTTCTGTTCGATTTGTGGCTCACTCATGTACCGCATCGGTGAAGTGATGCCGGGCCATAGTATCCTGCGTACCGGAACGGTGGATGATATCACCCTGCATGGAACGAAATTGAAGCCCCGGTTTGAGCTATATATCAAGGACCATGTGCAATGGCTTTGTGGTGTAAGTGATGTGGAACAGGTCAAGGGATCGGCTTATACCCCAAGGGGTCCTGATCCTTCTGAACTTGAAGAAAGTGAATGGGGCTCTGAGAAATAATTGGCCAATGACGCAAGCCGGCTCATGACCAGGCTAGGACTAGGACCACCGTTATAGGACGGGTCCTGTACAAAGAGGGGTTTCATATGACGTAGACCCTCTTGTGTGGCATTTCCTCTTCGGTCGGGCCTCCCAAGACTAATTTCCTCTCAAGAGGATTCTCTCAGGAGGATTACCCTCTCAGAATAAAGGTTTTATTCCGGGGTTCCCAAGTACCCTAACTTCCTAAGAAGATCTACCCGAAACAATATTTCTTTCCACGTCTTTCTACGACGAAGACTACAAGAATCCCTGCATAGTTCAAAGATAGACACAAGATGTGCTGCTCATTTCATCAAATCTTCCAAGAGCTTTCTCTCGGGGCGGCATCGCTCATATCTCTAATGGCCTCTTGTTCCGGGCTACATAGTACCCACGTCAGCTTAAAAAGGTCCTCATGATATTCTCTGCGTCACAGAACGACCAGGCGTTTCCTCTTCTATCCTATCCAGAGCTTGAGAGGCCATTGTTAGAAGTAGCCTCTCCTGGGTGAGCCGGCCTGCAGCGACAAGTTCCCGCTCTTCATGCTCGGAAATCATGAATATGGAATTTTCGCCATCGACGGTGGCCGCCCGGAAACATTGCGCTGGCCTGAGATGTTGAAGATATGCATCGTACAGTGAATAACCTTTCCGTAAATACTTTCGCGCAAGTCGCTCTAGCGGCGACGGGTCTGACGGGTCTACGAGGAGACGATCGGACTGCCTCCATTGTTCTCGTTCAAGAGCCAAGAACTGAATCTCGACAGGCCCTTGCTGTGGTTGAGACGAGTCCGCTTCTCCAGCCCTGGATTCATCGGTGGAAGAGGCGTGAGTAGAGAGCGTTCTGACAACGTCCCGGGAAATCGGTCTTATCTGATCCGGGTTCTTCACTGTGAGTTCTGGCTGTCCTTCACGGCGGGAAACTGGCGATAGATCGTGACTGGTGACGTTTGGAGCAGAACTTGGGTGCTCGATGTCCGCGTGCACTGGTGCCGCTGGCTCGTTATCAGAGGCCGGTGCTAGTGAATTTTGTCTATCCTCAAATTGAGGCGAATCCCCTGGAGGCAGTTGCCCTTGGTTGGACAGACCGAGCTCTTCATTAAGCCGCTCACGCTCCAGTTCCTGTTCCAATCGTTCCTGCTCTTCCTGAGCTCTCCGTAAATGGGCAAGGTATGCATCCAACCCTGGCTGCCCAGGATGGCCACTGATATTTGACGAATGGTCTGCCTCAGACTCTGGGGACGCCGGCGGGAGTGCATTATTAACCCTGACCTGATCATCGTGAGCATCTTGTGGATCTGGCGCCACGGTCAAGGATCCTCCGCCCGGGTCTTGCTCAGGTGTATTTGCTTCAAAGGAGATTCTCGTACAATTACTGGTGGTATCTGCATCTCTAGGGCCAGTACTGTAATGAGAACCATATGGAGAAGCCATCGCTGAATCGATCGGAGCTGTCTCGATATTTGATTCCGGAAGAGAAATATTTTCATCGCGAGGACTGCTTTGATCTAACATATCCTGATCCTGGGTTTCCGTGTTTGGTAAGTTCCGCTCCATAGGTTCTTGTCCCCTCTCGGTCGTGCGGTGTGAAGTAAGCCCGCGTATCTGAACCTTACACCTTCGCCGTCGTCTCAAATGGTCCCGTGACATGCTTTGTCGCACTCCACTCAGTCCCTGCGGCTCCTCTTGTCTGTCTTGAGTCGGCACGCTTGATGGTGCTGTATGCATGGTTTGCACATGACTATTAGATGGTTCAGCGCCACTTCCAATCGTGGTCTAGCCTTCTCTCTCGACTGACTCGAAAACTCAATTAGGTCTGTTCCCACCGAGTCGCTAAGGTTCAGTGGTTCTCACAAAGTTCGACACTATATGAGCTATGCACTGTCTAAATGAGCGTGAACAAAGGTCTAGATTCTCCACCTGTGCAGTATTTCAAATACTTTCACATTTCGGCGATTTGTAATCATGATCGGCCGGGATCTACGGTCCCGCGAAGTTTAATGGTATGCCGTTTCTCCAATGGTGGTGCATTTTTCGCCTTTCTCCAGGTACCTCAATGAGTCCTGTCCCTGCTATGCCAGGGTTTACGTTCTAGATGCAGCGCAAGAACTTGCCATGTTGTTTTAGACCAGCTTGGAGAACGCCATGCAAAGCACGCCAATCCGCATAAGACGATGTTCTTTGACTAGTCTGTTCAAATGTATGATATTACTCTATAATCACAAAATAGCGATAATGATTTTGTAGTCAGATCACATCGGTGCAGGAAGACTTTTTAGGATTGGAAAGACCTCGCTCATCGCCTTGAAATCCGTCTGCGCTCTGTTTGACGATTTTCCGGCGGAACCTGCTGCCCAACTTGGGAGGCCAAGCTGATTTTCGCCTCCATAATAGCCAGTCTACCGAGGATGTAGGCCAAATCGGTGCGGACAACTTCACTTAATTCACATTTTCTTGGTTGTTCATGGAATCTTCCACATTCCTGTGGCAAAGATTAGCCCGCAGTCGCTCCAGATGATGAGATGCACCCAGATTCAGCTTACTTCATTCGCACACCTAGCCTTGTCAAAAAGCAAATTTAGCTTGAGAAGTTCAGAGACAGCGAGTGTAGTACTCACTCTGCGACGCATTCCAGGGCTATCATGTCGCGATCTCTTAGCAGGTCTGTCTGTTCTTCAATCTTTTCCGCCGTTTGAGTAGTCGGAAACAACGCAGGGTCAATCTGGTCTTCGTAGCTATGACCAATACTGTCGCTGTGCACGTTAGGTCCATCACTCTCCGAGAGAACTGACTACTGCTCCTCGGTCTCAAACGAGGACAGGCTCAACGCACATTGTAGTTGTCTTCGGAAGTCGGGCCGTCGAGAGGAATACCCGGTAGACTTTCGAACAGATCCCATGTCGGTGTCTAGTGTCGCATAAGGGGCCGTGTGGTTTGTGTTCTCTTTCGTTCACATAACAATCATTATATATATTTTGGACTGGACTACGGTCTTTTGTCTTTTTTTGTTTTTAATTTACAGCTTTCGCCATTTGAATCGTAGCCAACGTACTCAGCTATGCATTTCCATACTTTCCAATCCCGGTGTCGAATATCGAAATCAGTTTCAGACGATCTGAAGTATCCCTCAAGTCAACGTTGATGGCCCCACAAACTCAGATTGCACCCTATCTTATTGGACAGTAACCCCATTGTATCCACAAGGAACAGAGCATGCATGAATCAGGCAAAGTTGTACGGAGTACCTATTCAAAAACTCTGTGTTTCACCGTTGAGGCGTGGAACCATCAACATGACAAATGAATCACTTTCAGTCCCATGGTTTGACCTCAAAAGTATATTTGACGTTACATCCTTCACCTCTGTGGCAAAGACGTGTATGCGTCGACTTGGTTCGTTTAAGCCAACGTTGAAACTGCCGTTGTTGATGTATGGGGTGAATGTTGACACGGGTCTTGTCAGTCAATTGATTTATCTAAATTAAATATTCAGAGCAATTAACTTATTGACCGGTTATCAACAATGTGACAGCTACGGAGTACTTGGAAATAGGCCAATCAGAGCAACGGAATCAAAAGGGGAGAAATTGAGTGTATGATTGATTGATTGAAGAACATAAAATGAGGGCGCTCATGGGGGTTGAAATACCCATGAACTTACAGTATAACGGAGGTCCACGGATGTTGAAAATCCTGGTGCCTGATGACAACATAAAAGGCTGGGATTCGCCATACAAAAGTGTTGCATCAGCTGGAACGCAATTGTTATGATGTTCATCCTTGTTTTGGTACGAGTAGCAACCCATTGGGGTTGACAAATATCCAACCTTTTATCAATCCGCCAGTCATAAAAAGTCACCTACATCTCGTAGTACTTAAAGAGTTAGGAAAGTAATAGCTTCTACTACCCATAGACCTTAAATAACTAACCAGTAAGAATGACGAAGCCCCGCCGGGAATATGATCTGGATTACATGACCATTTTACTATTGCACATGCAGTCAATTGCAATTGCGTAGGGTCTAGAGTAGCACAAATGATGTGAATTACTCGTTATTATGCGCAGAATAAAGACGCATAACTTGCCCCCGAAAAAGTGGGAGCCATAGCTACTGTAGTTTGGAGGTTTCTTCCGACCAAAGATAAAGAATCAACCGATTGAGGTAGGAAGGTATGAGGTTTGCGGCTGTGGTCGAAATCCATACTTTACGGCGCAATTATGGTTGCAAATGATTGATCTAGAACTTCATGTTTTGTTGTTAGCAGTACCGTGCTCTTTTTCTAATTTCTCGTTATAATTTGAGATATGATTTCACTGCTGGTTATGGCTATATGGATGGGGCTGGACCTTTCGGACACAAATATCTGCTGACCTCACGTAATGTTTGCGATCTTGCAATGGGCCGTGATACGCCGAGACCTACAAGTAATCTTAACATATGCTGCAAAAACAAAGAGAAACCAGGGCTGCACACCCATCTCATACGATTAAATGTCTAGTCCACACAAGCACTGGAAGAAGGCGAATATTGCCCTGCAGCACTAGGGGATCTACGATCTCCCTGCCCGGCCCTTTATTCACTTGCGAATCACGGGTTAATTCCCCGCGATGGTCGTAAAATCACGGCCCATCAGCTTAAAGATGCTCTCAAACACATCAGCGTTGGTATCAATATCCGACATACTTTAGTGAAGAGAGTGCTTACTGTTCATGACGGGACTTCTCATATCGGCCTCCGGAACCCGGGACAAGTAAATGATTCTGGAAGACCTGTGCTAGAATTGGATCAGACTGGTCGCCCTCATGCCGTGGAACCTGATGTGTTTCTCTCCCGAGAAGACCGTGCTTTGGGTGACTGCATTAATCCAAACCCAGACTTGGTTGACATAGTAGAGTAATTTAGTATCCAGGCAACAAAAAATCGTTCCACAATCTCCGACCTCGGTCGGTTCCGTAAGCGGCAATATGCAGAGCGAAAGACAAAGAACTCTGAACTAAATTTCGACTCCTCAAAACACAAGGTAAGTTAGCTTGTGGTTTTCCAGTCTATTATCGGTAAGGGGGCTTTCTACAACCTACCAACAAAATATGTAAAAGCGATGTTTCGAGAGGAGCGTTTACCATATAAGGAAGGTTGGAGACCGCGATGGATTCCGTTGATGTTTACAGAACTGTTGATATTGCAGCTGGTGATATCACATTATGCTTCATCAACTTGATTTGAAGGTGTTGGAAAAATTCTTTTTCGTGCTATGGAATTATATCTGTTAGCAGGCGGCATATCCAAATTCCAATCCTGTATCGCGCACGGGGCTCACGCCCAGGGACTCATAGGAGCAGAAGTCTGGGAGCCGCCTCATCATGCGGCACCCGACCTTGTCTCAGACTCACGGTCTGTCATAGCTTTAGGGCTCGATATGGACAATAAACTTGATTAATAATAATAATAATAATAATGCTCTACTTCACACTACGTGGAAGAAAATGCCCATTATCGAAACTCAGGGCGTGATTTAAGGCTACAAAATACCCTACGCGAACAAGGAACATGAATAGTGAACTCTACAAACAAGCTGAACGGCATAACACACAAAGCCTCCTTGGAGGATTCTTGATTTCTATCGATTCTTTGGAGCAGGTCTTGGCTTCTTCGAGATCTCAGACGGACACGAATACTAGTCTCTGACACCGCGAAGAGGTGCCTGCATGTCGTCAGAGGATCAGGACGAGGACCGCGGCGCCACGGGTCGCCTAAACGAGCACAAATTTGATAACGCAGGGCTCAAGGCTGCATGGAAGCTCAAGATTATACAATCACAGGGCTCAAGGCTGTGAGGGAGAACTTGGTGTCGCAGCGGTCTCCTGCGGAGACTCTTGGTGTCACAGATGTCCCTGCGGAGACTCTTGGTGTCGCAGATGTCCCTGCGGAGGCTCTTGATATCGCAGATGTCCCTGCGAAGCACATTTTTACAACGCAGGGCTCATTGCTGCGAGGGAGCGCGTTTCTACAACACAGGGCTCATCGTCTGTGAGGGAGCACACTTACAATCGCAGGGCTCATTGCTGCGAGGGAGAACTTGTTAACGCAGCACTCTCCTGCGGAGTTCAATTGGCGACGCAGCGCCCCCCTGCGAATGACACTTGATGACGCGGAGTCTGTCCCGCGAAGAGTACTTGGTAACGCAGATATTATCCTGCGAAGAACACTTGTTAACGCAGAGCTTATCCTGCGGATGACACCCCGAGTGGCCCGGGAGTGTGAGGAAGAAACCCCTGCTCTCTTTATCGACGGGAAAAGAGCGACTTTTTATGCCATTTCGAGTACGTTTCTCGGCAGCTACCACTTGCGTACATCCTGCCAGACCCAGAGATTTCCACTCGCCATTTCGTACCGGGCGGCTGCGTTTTTGCTGGGCGTTGAGGCGGTTTATTCAACGTTGAAATAAGAATTTTCAAGATTCTGGGGTGGGGGGCGGGTAGAGTGGCTGGATCCACCTGGAGCCGTGGTTGGCACGAAGCTATAGGTGACAAATCATTTGCCTCATCAACGTTGATTGACCTAGGTCAAACGGCCTTCAACGCAGTTGGTATGAGGTGTAGATTGAAGTGGCATTCCATGGGCCACTCGCCTTGGCAGCTTAATTTCCCGTAGCTTCAGAAGTCTGCCAATATTCGTTCGCACCGTGGCCAATCGATTTGCGAATCATTGGTCTCAACGTTGCTCAACGAGGTGAAACGGCTTTCACGCAGCTAATATATAGAAGCGTTCCATGGAAAACTTGCCTTGGCAAATCGCTTGCTTAGCCACTGAAACTTTTGCCTGCAAGGTTTATGCTCTCGCCTGAACGAATGCTTTCCCCCCTCCATCCACCCCGTTTGCCTGGTTGTTAACTATCTTGTCACGAGTTGCAGCCACAGCGAGACATCATGCCGCCCACATCTCTATAACATCAACCAGTGCATGAGGATCGGGGTGCCTCGTGGGTCAGTACCCGGAAACCAGTCGAAAAGGTACCATCGATGAAGAGATGTCGACGCTGACTCCGCCGCCGGAACATGGTTTCGTCGAGCCCCAATCGAGACTCCCTTCCTGCCCAATACTCATGGTCTCTACGATCCATCAGCCATCGGTAAATCACCCCTGCTGATACTCCGTAAATTAATATGTTCTCTAATTGACTTGTCTCAGGTCTTTGGAACGCTGCCTGGAACATTGCCAGGCGAAGAATGTCACGGGTAGGTCCAAACCGGGATTGGAGTGCCTTCGCTGATTTCCTTTGATAGAATCCATAGAAACCCTGTACCCCATGCTCGGATTTCATACGACGCAAATTCCTTTTCGAGCACAGTATCGGATCATCTAAACTGTGCAACGTCATCTCGAGTATTGCGCCTTCCAATTTGTCCAAAGATGGCTCCTACCGCAGTCTTTGGTTGTTGGATGGGCATGACCAGAGGCGCTGGAACTTCACAAATTCTTCAAATTCGGTACTCAACATCGATCCAAAATAGCATCTGAGCAGTGCTGCAAGAACCTCAGCTCTATAGAGAACCAGCACCATTCAAGTGCCAGCATCCGTCACGTTGCTGTTCATCTCTTGGCCCAGGACGGGGAAAGTCTGCTTCAGATGAACCGTGCCGCCATAGAATATTATCTTTACTTAGACTGAAGCCCCGACGCAGAGAGTCCCTGTCATCTCTTCTGGTTTCTACAGCAAACCGGTCCTGAAGTCTGGCATGGTGCAGTTGTAGACACAGCAGACACAGCAGACACAGCAGACAACTCCGTCCCATGCCCCATTGCCCAAGTCCTCCCCATGCGCACGTTGGAATGACCGATTGATTGAGTCTCCGGATGTGATAAGGAGCCTTGTGAGATGTGTAGATGTGTTGAAATGG